TTTTCCTCAAGTAAACAATGTAAAATGTATCCCCTTCCTTAAAAGCTGTCAGGATATTTTTGTTATATATATATTTCAGCTTATAAAAACTCGACCACACCGATTATGCTTTGAGCCTAATGCAATAATGCTGGAATTATGTTTTACGCCCATTATCAGAGGCAATCCATCAAGTTGAAGAGCTCGACGTGGCAGCTTTCGGGGCTGTACATATCATTTTAATCATATTTAAACAGCGCCCGTATTTATCACTCATTATTTATGCATATATCAATCTATATGGCCACGAGACCCCATTAACGGGCAAACAAATGCCCCGAAAACAAAATTCGGGTAAAACCGCACCCAAAAAAAAAGGAAAGAAAAACCACACACATACACATATCGAGTCGAGGGAAGGACACTTGGCAGAAGGAGAACGCTGTTAGCCAAGGTAAAAAAGGCGACGCACCTGTCTGTCTGTCACATCACATATTTGTTTGCCCAACACACACACACACACACACTCGCGAAGCGCAGGAACAGGCGCCTGTCGTTATGCCACACAATTTTATCAACATTAATTTGTCAAACATTTACCGGCATTTCATGTGTGTGTACACACACATATCCTTGCCGAGTTCTCCCTTTTCTAATGAGAACAATAAGTTGAATGAATTTAATGAAATGAGATGTAAACATGTGGACAGCTGTGGACAGGCAGCAACAGCAGCAGCAGCAGGAAAATGGGAACAAAAAGGGAGCAAAAAGGACCCTGGCCATTGTTCCCTTTTGCTCTCGCTCTGGCCATATCCTTAGCTCCTCGCTGCTCCCTGCAGCATTTGCTTGTTTTCGAACTCGTAATGAAATTCTTGAGTAGAAATTCATTTTGCAACTTTTGCTGAAACAATGCTCATTGAATAATTTACGCCCTGCGCCAGCACAAATGAAAAACCAAAACGGAATGAATGAGAATGGGGGTAAGGGAGGAGGCAAAATAAAGTCCACCCGGGATGTGGAAAACTGCAGCAGTGCTCCACTTAGTGCCCTACTCTATACCCCCGTCCCCTGGCAATTTACGTGCTGCGGGGCCAGAGATCCCGGGATCCCGGAGTCCAGGCGCTGGGCATAATTGCATTAGCCGGATGCGCTGGATGTGGCCCCCATTGCCACACTGCTCCGCCTGTTATACACCCTGCTAATGTAATTGTTTTGTGTATTTAGCCTGGACATTGCATTCGAGTATCTAACAAAGCATCGACCCTAGCCACCTCGTCCCCTAATGAGCCAATCAAAGCCCGCGATTCTGGGCCCACTTGCAGAGCCTGAAAATGCAAATTGTTGGCAATTAACGTTCTCAGCGATTCCAACACGAAGGTAAACCGACATCTTAGCCTGGCTAATCTGCAGCCAACTAATTAAACTTTGTCTGAGCCTTGAGCCCCTAATGTGCCGTCATTTGAGGCCCAGACACTTGGAGAAAGGACATCATAGGAGGGGGTTATCTTTAATTATTTAGATATGTGATAGATATGTGAGAGATGTGACTTTAAGAAGCTTTGATTTAATAAGGATAGATTTTATATTACACTTAAATAAATAGATTTATAAAATGTATTAATCAATCACTTATACTTTAAATAATTTGTCCGATTAAATATTACTCAAATTCCGATCCTGGCGCAATTAACTTTAAGGCATTTTCAATTTCCTCACGCTTTTCGTCACATTTTCTTTTTCATTTAACAACATGAAACGATATCATTTGCATATGACATTTCCTGTAATCAATGGCAATATTTTGATTCAATTGAAATGGCGAAATCAACAGAATTAAACTGCAGCAATGGGGAAATGACCACAATTGATGCATATAGTACAAGCATCTGAGGGCATTGAGGCAGAGGATATTCCACAGGACGACTGCCATCATTTGCCCGAGGGCGGAAAATTTATGACAGTTTTCGGTTGTTTGTGTCTCGATGGGTTCCGCACTGTGGCACTGTGGCAGTGTGGCAGGAATGATGTAATCAGGAGGAGGAGGAGCAAACCAGAAACCTGCTGCTGCAACCAACCTGCAACCTACTGCAGCAGCAACAGCAGCAACTGCTTACAAAATAATTGATTTTGTACACATCCTTGACACAAATAAACATTCGCTCTCGGCTCTGCTAGAGTTGAACCCACCATGAGCCTGGCCGTGCCGGGGGTCGGTCGTAAAGCTCTGTAAAAATTGTGGATTAAATCCCCACAAAGCTAAAGGATTTTTAATTGAATTCGAGGGGTTTTTGCAACTGCAAATGCAATTTGCAGCAGCCGTAGTTACAGCTAAAAGTTGAATGAATCCATTGAAATATTGTACAAACATTTGGAGTGTTTGTGTGTATTTGTTTGCCCAGCCTGAACCAAAAAACAAGAAAGAACATAAAACTGAAAACAAAACAGACGGGAAATGCAAACATGGGATTTCCCAGGTAACTGTGCAACTGATTAAATCACCTGAAAACGAGCAATGGATCTCGGTTCCTTGATTCTTCGACTCCATCCATGTTCAGTTTCGATGGGCACTCGTAATCCAAGTGGCACAACACCACCCAATCTCCAGTACACACAACGCAACGCACACAACAACGTTGCAACGCAAGGACCCCGAGCCATGCCACCCCTAAAGTCCTCGATATTCCTAACCCTGCAGCCGACACAGTGACAAGGATGCTGCCTGGCTGCCTGCTGCTGGATGCCTTTGCATGCGAATCCACTGGGGCATCAACACATCAACAGGCCGCCAAATGCTGCGAATTTTGCCATCATAAATTCAGTCCTCGCGTTCGCAAAAACGGCCAGCTAAAGGGAATGGCAGAAGAGCCAGGAAAAGCGTGGAAACCCCAGGCAGCGGAGAGGGAGGGGGCCGGAAGAGAGATTGAGGAACAGAGCTGTTGGCTAATTTGCAACTTGAATGCAGGCAAGTCGACCTTTTTTTTTTGGGACACAGCTTAATTGAAAGCTCGGACAGGTCTTTGTGCTGCAGTTTGATCGCGAATTTTTGGCCTCTGCAGCTTTAAAAAATACTTCAAAGGCTAGAGGGGGAAAAACAAGGGAAATTTAAATCCTAATTCCATCTAAACAAAAAAACTAACGATATCACAAATCAAATAATTACTTTTTCCCCCCAATCTGTAGTTTATTTGCACCGATGTTGGGATAAGAAAGTGTAAAGGTGACAAGATTCGATAGATTAGCCGTAACAGCACCATTATCTGTCTTATCCAATGCCAAGCCAATGTCCTTGAAACAAATTGATTGATTTAATTGCTTAATTGCCGACAGGCTGGCAGGTTTGAGTGGCAGACAATCGAAATGAAATACATTTGGTAATAGGTATTTTTGCTTCTACACCTGAAATTAATTAGAAAATCAATAGTTTGGCATCGACTTAAGCCATTGCCATTTTAAATTAGATTCCGGCTTATTGTCTGACGGTCGGGATATATGTATAGATTCACCGATTTAAGCCACATTGTGGTCGCCTGTCTTCACCCGAAAAAGGCGTGAGAATCCCAGATTCGAATCAATTAAATTTCCATTAGTGCTCGAATGCATTAATAAATATTAAAATCTGAATTACACTTGGCAAAGCCAATCCAGGGGAGGAGAGGAAGCTGGAATATTCTATAGGTGAGTGGTTAGCTGGGATTTTTTGGCAGACAACCAAAAGCGAACAAGCCGAAAAAGAAATCAATTTGAAAGTGTTTGCCTGTCCCTTCGTTGGTTTTCTCTTCTTCTTTTTTCCCCCACTTTCTGGCACAATTACCAAGGCATTTTCGTTGATTTGCAGCACGTTTTTCCAGTTGCCAGCACTAACGCTGATGATTCCGCCACCGACAACGACGACGACCACGATGATGATTTCAATAATGATGCTGGCGGCCATGATGAAGCTGTCGTGGCACTTGAAATGGCCGAAGATGTGGCACACAATTGTCACAGCGAATACTATATAGCATAGTATATATATATATATATAGTGGCGAAAAAAAAGAATCACTTTTCCTTTGGCAGCTTGAGTGGCAAGCCAACAAACCCAAAGTAGCTTGCTCGATGGCGACAAAAACTGGCAATAATAATGTGCAAAAGGCCTTGCCTTGTTGGCTGACTTTCCCAGGACGAAAACTTAAGGTTTGCCCAACTTTAATTGACTTGAAAAGTAATAAATACCATCTATGTGGTTTGTAGAAACCCCGCAGCTTAATCTCTTCCTTCCGTGGCCCTCAAAAGTAGGCAGCACTTTTTGCAGCTTCAGCTGAACTCTCGTCGTCGTCATCGACATGGCCAACCATTGACGGCAGCTCTCAATATTGCTGAGTCGCAATGACCAGGGAGCACATTGCCGGTCGTTTGGCAATAACAAGAATCCCTTGAAATGCACACAATTTGTATATGCATTCAAGTGGGTCCTTTGTGCGTGTTTCTCCTATATGCATTTGTGTGCACTTAAGCCCTGCTTTGTCGTCGACGATTGCTTGACAGTTTTTAAGCAGTGAAAAAATATGGATCAAGGAATAAACCGTCTTTGAAATTGAGGCCCTTAAAGTTAGGATGATTTCCAGAAAAATCGTAGATTTTGGTATCAGATTTTTAGAGGTACAAGAAAGGTTTATTCTCAGTGTCTAAGGGATTCTTTCAAATCTTGAAATTCTGTATCCTTACTTAATTGTTTTGACGTAAAATCCAATCTCATCTTAATCCTTTATCTAGCTCCAATTTTAAATCTAATATAAGGTTATACGATCTATTAAATTATAGAAAAATACATAAATCATCACCCATCCTTATCTTTAACCCTTTTTAAGGACATTTTTCGCTCAGTGTCTATGAAAAGTACTTGGTTGAGTGGAGACTTAGAACAAAGAAATGCCAGATGTTGATGGCAAGCAATCCCGCCCCAGGATACTGTTTATACAAACGCTCTGGCCAGGACATCATCCAATCATCCTGGCCAGATGACTGGCTTGGAAACTCACCTGCAAGTCTGTTGCTGTGCCCGGCTGTGCCAGATCACAGGCTGATATCCAAGGATTAAGGCGTGTTAACGAGCTCGCTGTGCCGAGTATGGACTTCTTTAGGTCCACGGGTGCTGGCAAGGTTGTGGTGGTGCTGCTACTGCTGCTGCTGGCGCCTGCTGACTCGGTGGTGGCCACGGCGGACAAGCTGTTATCCTTGTGTCCGATCAGCTGGGCCGTCTGGGCATCAAGGATGCGGCCACTGGCCTCTCGTTTGTTATTGTTATTATCGTAGCTGTTAGCGGACTCCGGCGAGTGGCTGTGACTGTTATCGCTATGTTGCAGGACTCCCTCATCAATTAGGCGGCTCTCGTCCTGTTGCTGCTGCTCCGTTTCGGTTTCAGTATCCGCTTCCGCTTCTCTCTCCGTTTCCGTTTCCGTCTCTGTTTCCGTCTCGTTCTCTCGCTCTGGCTCTGTCTCTGTGTCTATTTCCGTTTCCGCTTCCTCCGCGGGTTGCGGCTGTTGCTTGTAATCCTCCTCGTCGGCGTCTTCGTTGAGCTTGATCAGGCGATCAAAGGACTCCTCGGACAGCAGATCGTCCTCGGCCACCAGGGCGAAGATATCCTCGTCTTCGTCAAAGGCCTGCGACGAGGGAAACTGAACGGGAAGACCCGGATCGCGATCCTCCTCCTGCTCCTCCTCGCTGGACTCCGCTGTGCCCGCTGTGACTGCCGCTGTTCCCGATCCCTTACTGGATACTATCCCTGTCACTGTTCCTGTTCCTGTTACTGTCTCTGTTCCGCCCGCCCGACCTGCTATATCCCTGCTGCTGCTGCTACTGTCTCGTCGCCGCCGCCGCTGTCTCCTGTCCGCAATCCTCGACGAAATCCAGGACTCGGTGTGGGCGTGGTCGTGCTGGTGCTGGTGCTGCTGCTGCTGCTGGTGGTGGTAATCGCCGGGCGGCAAACGTGGCCCAAACTGGAGCGCCAAGTCGAGATGGTGGGGCAGGAAGATGGGCAGCAGGTACGAGCCAGAGCTGCGAACGAATGACGAGGACTCGCCAGTGGACGGTAACGTGGTTGATCCTTCACCTCTTGCGCTGCCGCCTCCTCGGTCGTTGCCCCTGCCCTCTGCCCCTCTGCTCCCGCCGTCGCCTGCCGCTGTGGATGTCGGTGTCGGTGTCGCTGTCGCTGAGCTGATGCCGCTGCTGCTGCCTCGCCGAGCCCCCGAAATAAACGCAAGCGCCATCACGACCAGCCCGGGTCCTGGCCGCATATTGACCTCGGGTTCGGCGGTGCTAGCATGGTGCAGGCCCGCTTGAGACGCGCTTGCGACTCCAATTCAATGCGAGTAATGACGGGCTCATGGCCCCATCATCATCGGTAGTGTTGGCGGCGGACTTGTTGGGCGGACTTCTTGGAGCGTCGCTCTCTCCGGTCCGGTCCGATCCGTCAGCTGCCTGGCCCAGTTCCTGTTTCTTAACCGGTACGGGTTCGGGGGGTTCCTGTTCCAGTCCCAGTTCCCGTTGCTCTGTACCCGCCTGAGCCGCTCCAGCTTCAGCTTCAGTGGCTGCCCTGCATCCAGCGGCATGAATCCCGGCCTGAATCCCCGTTCCCTGCCAGCAACTCACTGGCCAGCTTGCAAGTATTGGTTCTCGTTCGAGCGTATCGCGGTTTCAGTTGCCGTTTTCATAGTATTAACATTTACTATGTATTTTTATATTTAATAACATGTGTTATTTATTAATTATTATTTATTTAATTATTTATTATTATTGTTGTTTTTGCACAATAACCTTGGAATTGGACATTTTTATGGAAATTCGTTTGCTTCGTTGAATTGGTTTTCTTGTTGTTGGGGTTGTTGATGTTGTTGCTTTGTTTTAGGGCTTTTCTTTGTTGGTTTGCTCACATAATTAATTAGTTAAGAAATCTGCACGAAAGGATAAAGAAGTTGTTTAACTTTAATGGCACTTTAAAGGATTTATTTCTTGTATTTTTTAAGTTGGCTTGCTTTTTGGTTATCCTTTGGGACTCTACAATTATTTCGACGGTATGCTTTTCCCCGATTTTAATGTGTGTTTTTCGGTTATCCTTCGAAGTCGACATTAAAAAAAAAATTGTTTTTCGTGCGCTCACGCTCTCGTTTGCTCAATTCTCTCGCTATCCTCTCTCTTAGCAACGATTAAGGTTTGGCTAATTTGTGCATAAACTTTGTGACAATCGAATTTCAAAACTGTTTTATATAATTATTCGAGTTTTGAGTAGGTTTTTGCCTTAGTTTTATTTCGATTTGTATTAAAATTTTTCAGAGACAGTGGCAGCGAGTGGGCGAGCGGGATGGCAACGAGTCCTTCGTTTTGCCGAAGCTTTTGAACCGAACGAACGCGAACACCGCACAAAAGAAGAAAGCCGAAAAAAACGGTCGTGGAAATCCCGTATATCTAACACACACACACACACATACAGCTGCGAACAGTGCAAAGAAATTTATATAATTCGCTGCTCTGCTTCTGCTCGCTTTCTCTCTGCTGCTTCGCTGCTTGTTTTTGTTGGTTTCGCTGCAAACACAAAAACAGCGAACGGATCCACAAGGAGCAGCATGGGAATGGGAATGGAAAAGGAATGGGGATGGGAAGGAGAGGCAGAAAGAGAATGAGAACGAGAACGAGTGGGTGTAAGCTGCTGCTGCTGCTGCTGTCGTGCATGCGTCTGTGTGGCTCTCTCACCCACTCTCTCCGCCTGCGAGTGCGTGTGTGTGTGTGTGAGTAGTTACTTAGGGCAGCCAGGCAAGCACTCCGCATGCCATTTTTTTTATTTTCCACAAGAAGATGGTGAAGAAGAAGAAGAAGAACTAGCAATAAGAAGAGGCACAAGAAGATGGCGGAGAAGAAGCAGCAGTAGCAGCACAAGAAGTCGCCCCTTTCGCTACTGTAACGGTTCTTTCTTTTACGAGTATTGGTGGTAAGCCTATGCGTGTGGCTCTCTCTCGTATGCCATGGGCCTCTGTATTGGTGTTAGAACCAGAGTCCAAGAAGTGGAAATATCGAAGGATATTTGAAATGAGACCAACAAAAAAAGAAAAGAGCCAGGTCCTTCTCCTTCAACCACAAAAAAAAAAAAAAAAAAAACGGAAAATGTAGAAAGAAAAAGCATAATTTGCGAACGTGCTGGCGACAATGGAGCCTACAACATTTTATTCAGCACTTTTCGTGTATTATTTAAATCCTCGATTGTCCTCTTTGCCTTTGCCTTTTTTCGACGGCTTTCTTCCTCTGCTCTTTGTGTGTTAACTTTCACTTTTGTTTTATTTGCTGCGTTGACACTGCGCACACACACTCGCACGCACACACACACACTCACAAGCACGCACACTCGTGGGTAGCTGTATATGTATAAGGATTTTCTCTTTTTTTTTCTTGGTGCGTGTGCTGGTTGCGGGATCCTTTCGTTTCAGTACAACAGCCGCTTATATAAGCCCGGAACGTAGCACGAAAACTTTGGAGCACTCTTTATCGAGGGGATTGCCGTCGAAACTCGGGTTTCTTTGGGCAATCGACTGAAACCGACAAATAAAAACTCTCCGAAAAACAGCGGGGCCATTCATTTTCTTTTTTTATTTCGCATTATATAACATTTTTGACGAAACGCAACCGTTTTTGTTTTTCTTTTCGCTTTTCCCGTTAGGTTAGGTGTATCGATAGCGATAGCACAATTTCAGAACACTTAATTTTCTATATTATTTTTTTAGGGGGTTTAGCGAGTAGAAAAAGAAGGGCTGCCTATTTGCAAGTATGTAAATATATATATATATATATATATATGACATATACATATATACTTAGGGCGACTCTTCCTCTTCTACGCAGAGCGCAGCATCAACGGCCGTGTAACGGTTATTTTCGCATGTGTGGGCGGGGACACACGGCAGAATGCGGGGGGCGTGGTAGGCGTGTAGTGCTCGAGAGTTATGCTTGGCAGATTTTCCTTCTTGGATTTGATTTTTTGGTTTCGGATTAATTTTGCAGCTACTCTCGCCATCGCCACCCCGGCCACTATATAATTCTCAAGTCCCGAATACCGTTAGATTCACTGTGAAAGAGATGCTGCTGCTGCTGCTGCTGCTACTACTGCTAGTGCTGATTTCTTTTCTTTTTCTTTTGCTTTTTTTGTGTGACAGTTTACAGGCAAGAATTGTGTGTTTTGTGGACGCGACGTCGCAGGACAAATACCGTACAATCCTGCTTCCTGCTGATGGCCCCAAACGGCACTGACTGTGCCACAATTGCAGATGGCGCTCGACTGGAATGTGCGAGCGGTCCAAAAGGACACGAGTCCTGGCCGAAGCACGCCCGAGCGCCGTTACGAACTCCCGCCCGAGGGCAGAGCAGCTGACAGAGGAGAGACCAGCGCTCTCAGGCTCCTTCCATGCGCTGTCGCTCTCCAGCACGGCTGTCAAGCTTCTCAAACTCTCCTGCTCTCCTGTGCGCTTTCCAGGCCCCATCCTGCGGCCAGTTAACAGAGCTCTGTTAGTGCTGGCCGCTCTGTTGGCCAGCTGCCTTTTCGAAAACCCATTTTTCGGGCCCCCGTTCGAGTTGAAGCAAGAAGAATTACTTGCTGCAGGGCACTTAATCACACAGCCACCAGGAGCAGGGAAGGAGAACGAACAGGAGCAGGAGCAGGAGCAGGAGAGGAAGAAAGAGAGTCACTCAAAGGCCCCGGCACTTGACTCAACTCATCTATCTCACATTCTGCCCGCTCTTTTTTCTTCTTTTTTTTTTGCCTTTTGCGCTTACTTTTACTTTTCGGTCTCCGTCTCTGTCTTCCGTTATGGCGTTTTGTCTTTGTCTGACTTGGCCTAAATGTGTAATACCCTATAATGTCGTTTAATCCCACTCGACGTGTTTTAGTTTCGCCCCGCCAGCTTACGGCAAAGTCACTTGGAGTCACCGGGAGTCGCAGGCGGAGTCGGCGGGAGTCACCCGGTGTGGGAGCTCCTGTTGACGCAGCCGATAGAGAGATAATTGCCAGGTGCCTCGGGATCAGGATGCAGGATGCGGGATGTGGGTTAAGGGGCGTGAAATGCAGCTCCCCCACTTTTTGGTTCCCTGCAGCCACTTGATTGGCAATTAGCGGCAATCTAATGGCAGACTGCCAATTAATATGGCTCACGGGAACGACTTGTTCCAATAATTGCAATTCAATATTGTCTCCACTAGTCCATAAGTATACTCAGGGACAATAAAGAAAGTTGAATCACTAAAAAGGTAATTGTGGATATCAAAGCAATATGGTTATGAGTTTAAGAGCTACAATTGTTTAATGCTTAATCTTAGGTGCAGTTTAACAGTTTTTAAGTTAGCAACAAGTAAGAACACTAGTCATAATAAAACTACATTTTTTAAATTAAAAAAAAGGCTAAGAACATGTAATCATTATAATGAAATATTTTCTGAAATATTTAAAAAGTTTAAATTTAACTAAATAAACTTTTCCTGAATATTTGAATATTTAATTAGTATATTTTAGACTCTGTAGTTTAATCCAGTCAAAAATTAGCCCAGTCTAGAGTCCTGCCAATGAGTACCCTGTTGATGACCAATTCCGGTGATGCATATTCACCCCGAGCACTCGCCGGTGTCCAGCTGACACGACTGTCCAAGGCCGCGTCGACCTTCAAACAGGCACTCAGCGGATGAACAGCCGCTCACTCAATAGTAGTTGGCGGTTGGACATTTCGAGATGAAAAGAGGATGGCTGGACAAGGGACGGGAGACTGGAAAGAGGAGCAGCAGAACGGCAGAGAGACAGCACTTGAATTATTAAGTTTTCTTTTTTTTGGTAATTAACTTAAGTAACTGCCACGACAAATCAAACGGGGAGGCCTGTCCTGGCAATAGCCACACCCCGTCCCGATCCTATCCGATCCGAAAGTGACCAAGTGAAGTGGGAAAGGAAAACAAACCGAGGCGCGGCACGGCGACACCGAAATCGAAAAGAGGAAAAATTAGAACAACAAAGCGGAAGGAAAGCGGGCGAGGCGAAAATCATTTGGCTTGGAAAGCAGTTTGCTTCAATTTATGCGCATTCCAATCAATAACTGTGACACATGCAAGGACAACAGAGCAGAACAGAACAGAGCAGGGCATGCCAGCCAGCCAGCCAGCCAGCCAGCAAGCGAAGGCGGGCAAAGGACTCAGGACTCGCAAAGCCCACCCAAGAATCTCTTCACGAGGAGAGTGAAAGTGCCAGGACATCGTCGAGAACATGGAAGATGGCTCGCTGGTGTTTGTGGCATGGATATGAATGTGTCAAACTTATGCTGGCTCCCACACACATACAGTGCCACCCAAAACACACACAGACATACAAACCCACGCAAGAACACCCACACACATGTCGGTGTGCGTGCAGAAATTGATAAGAAACGGAATAACCCTCAAGAAAATTTGCGGCGAGCGAACGTATGGGTGTATGTGTGTGTGTGTGTGTGTGGGTGGGTTTGTAAGGATGGGAGAGGCACTGAGAAAATGGAAAACAAAACCAGAAATGCCTGCACAAATAAGAAAATAATAACAACAACTAGAAGGGAGAAGCAGAGCTAAGGTATGCGTTAAGGAGTCTTAAATACTCTTTACTAGAATAAAATGAAAAAATTAACTTTAATTTGTATTTTGGAAGTAAGAGTAGAAATGTTTTAATTTCTCCACTAATTTAATATTTATTAAGTTCAATATCACGCGTTAATTCATAAATTCATTTTAAACTTTATTAAAATTGTAAATCCTTACAATGTAAAAACTCCTAAAGAAATAGCAAAAATGTTTGATTTATAGCAGACTTCTTTTAGATTTATTTACTTTTGATGGATGTATGCCATAAACCAATTAATACTCTTTCGCTTGACAGGACATTAAACTTATCAAATGCATTGGATGGCTGTGACGATGCTCTTGACGTTCCGGGAAATTCCATTACCAAGGCAGTTCAAATATGCGATTGGCGGGGTTATAGAATTCAGCTTCCCGAGTACCCAGTTCCGAGGACGAAGTCCCGAGTCAGAATCAGACTCGTTATCATCGCCGCATCTGACAGTTTGGTAAGTTGAGCATCCAATCGCATCACATCGCATCGCATCTCATGGCAGCGTGAAACATCCGCTTCAATTTCAGTGCTGGCTTCAGTTTCCCAGTTTCAGTTTCGCAGTTTCAGTTTACCAATTTCCCACTTTGCCAGTTTGCCAGTTTGCCAGTTTGAGTTTTCGGCTTGTGAGCGGGCCAAGGTAGCTTCGTCGCTCAGCATTTCAGATATAAGCGTTACAAGGACGCCGCCTGACCAAAACGAAAGCAAACGAATCGAAACGAAACGAGAGGCAAGGCAAGGCGAGGCGGGGCGGAGCGGGGCAAGGCAGCGAAAGGACGCGGCAAGGATTTTGCGCAGTC